TTGTAACAGTGAACCAGTTGAAAAATCTATGGTTTTTAACTGTGTGATTTTTAAGTGCAAAACAAGCACAAGGAACAATGAGGAATAATAAGAAAAATGTGACTTATACAAAGCAAAGTGTTGAACTTCTTTTTTCGTGTAATAAAATTCGGCTAAAAAAAGATTTCTTCTTCCGCGTAAAATAAAAATGTATATCTCGTCAGCTGTCTATACACGGAAACCATCGTTAAAAGATTTATGGACTATTCGATCCTTGAAATTCTCCTTCATATGAATTTACTTCTTTGTAAAGGATTAACGAGCCGTATCGGCAGACTTCAATTTCAGGTACGTGTAAACGAGAAAACCACTTATCATAGAATTTTATATCCTTCCTCTTCGGCAAACGTAACACGTGTCTTAAAAGAAACAATAACTTCCTCGAATGAATGAATATTTCATTCGTAATATTACTCACTTTTAGCCTTGATACTGTAATTGATTAATTTAACAACGAATGTTAGAATTATAGTATTATTTTCATTTCGTAAAAAAATATTCATCCGAAGAGCGAAGGATGTCCCAAAGTTTTGAACAGAAGCGTACATCAAATTAAACAAAACACAATGGTCGCGATAATCACATCAGAATGTCCAACACTTTACTTTGTTCTTTTCGTTTCCGGGTCTCTACTTCCTTCAAAGACACTCTGCAACGTTTCTAATAGTTTGTTCCTGATGTAATGAAAGAGGAAATAGCAGGAGAATCAAAAAGTACCGGTTGTTAATATCATCTCGTCTCGTTTCCTTTCATACCAAATACGTCGAATACCGCATGCAACACGGTCGATTTTCCACTTTGTCGTTTTCAACACGGACTATGCCGATTTCAAAGAACTCGGTCCTTGTTTCTATCCGGAGACAGGTGAACGCATGAAATGCCAAATGAAATTCCGACAGTGACTTTCTAACAATTTCAATTGCTCATTGAAAGAGAGAAACAAGTTCCGAGACATCCGGAATCCCACGATTCTATCTTGGAAAATGGAAGACTTCTTGTGGAAAATTGTTGGGAAAGAAAAAGTAGATTTCAAGGCTTTGTTAACACTTTAATTTTCCATGCACGCGTGTACCTTAAATTAAATTTTCATTGAGAAAGTATAAAAACAAAATCAGAAGTTGCCGTCAAAAAGCTATTTCAAATTCAAATGTCACCGAATGACAAATGAAACCGAAACTTTCTCAAAATTAAATAATCTTGCGCCACTTTGTAGGCAACCTAATTTGAATTTCTTCAAGTGGATTTTCTTTTTGGTCAAACTAAAGAAACCGCAGAAACGAAAAAGAAACTGGTTCCAATGACAAAAGACGTTCGCAATCTTCGTAACTTATTGATCAATTTACACCTGACAAAAGGATGTAAAACGTGTTGCGTTCGACGATTAGGCTATTGTTACAGCAATACAGTTGCAAATAATAGAAACGAAGGAAATAACGTGCGTTTAATGTAACAGTACTTTCACCGATTGTGTTTCACTTACATAAGGGGATTGAACTTTTGAGATACAACTTTATGGTGGATAATGACACTTACGTAAGATGATCGCGTTTGTTTGTTTTATTTAGAAGACATTGTAACGAGATTTTGGTCTTAGGAAACTCAGTCCCTAATTATGGTTGTTTAATGTCGTTTTAGAGTTACGTGGACTTCTTTAACAACTATCAGTCTGTCAATGGGATTGCCCTCCTGCTATCCTGTGTCATCATTTTGGTTCTCATTGCCAACAATGCGTTAAAGGTATTTTTCAAAGACGAATTAAAATATTATTTTAGCTAACAGCATAAAAACCTTAGAGATTATATCGAAATATTATAAATCTTAATAAAACTGAATTTCTTATACTTCATTTCAAGATTCTTCGGTATTTAAAAAATTTCAGTTTTAATATTTTCTGAAAAAAAAAAACAGAGCAAGGTAGCTGGAGTTACACTAAAAAATCGTATTTTATTTGCAGCCAAAGTTCGCGAAAATAAGTCCATTCCCAATCCCCATAGAAATGCTAGTGGTTGTGCTTGGGACTGTCCTCTCAGTGTACGTGAACCTTACAGAAGTTTATGGGATCGCGATAGTGGGTGACATCCCAATCGGGTAACCAAGTTTCTCGAAACTGTATTATTCACGATAGTTGTGTCGTGTTTCATTGAAACAAAGCAACATCTTTATGGTAACTTTCTCTTCCATTGCTTCCAGTTTGCCGTCTCCGACCTTGCCACCATTGTCTTTGGTACCGAGCATTTTATTAGATAGCTTCATCATTACTATGGTGTCCTATACTATATCCATGTCCATGGCGTTAATCTTCGCGCAGAAACTCGGTTACGAAGTGGACTCGAACCAGGAGCTAATGGCGCAGGTTTGAATGTATATTTAACTTGGAAATTTCGAATGAAATTTGAATTTCTGATATATAACCCACGTCTGAATTATGATATAGAAATATTCGATTGTATGACCATTAAATTAGTCTTGGAATGCATTCAAGTACATCGCATGAAGCAACAGCGTGTGTAGTCACACGATTAAAATCTGATGCATTGTTATTGACATTTTAATTAACCGGGGAATCAATTAAATAATTCATGTCGTAGACTTGACCTGATTCGTCAAAGTCAATCTCTTTTATCTATCGAAGCTGACACCGCGACCGCTTTAGAATTAATATAGTGCGATAGCAATCAATGTCACGCTGTATGAAAGACAATGCAACTCATTTACATAAGAACCTAATTATCGTCATCCTCAATGATTTCTAGGGTGTCGGAAATCTAGTTGGATCCTTCTTCTCTTGCATGCCATTCACAGCTTCGCTCTCTAGATCCCTGATCCAGCAAACTGTCGGCGGACGAACTCAATTAGCTAGTCTAATATCCTGTGGAATTCTAATTAGCGTTTTACTGTGGATCGGTCCCTTCTTCGAGCCTCTGCCACGGGTAATTCACAAATATTTGAATCATTCTTAATTATATAAAATACAAAAATCTAATAAAAATCTGTACAATTTCGAAAATCGACAAATTCAATCGATTATACGTGTAAGTTTCAAGTAGCTAATAAAACATTATATTTCCATATAGTGTGTTCTAGCCAGCATCATCGTGGTGGCTCTAAAGGGGATGCTAATGAAAGTGACAGAATTTAAGAAATTCTGGAAATTGGACAAAACGGATGGGGTTATCTGGGCGGTGACATTCATATCAGTAATTCTGACGGACGTGGAATATGGTCTTCTAATTGGAATCGTGTTCTGCATCGGCAAATTAATCCTCTTTTCTATCCGTCCTTACACCTGTTCACTCGCTCTAGTACCTGGTACTGAGCTTTATCTGGATACCAAGAGATATAAAAGCGTATGGAATAATGATAGTCTCTCTTTTCTTTTCTTTTCTCTTTTCTCTATTTTTTTTTTTTTTTTTTTTTTTTTTTTTTTTTTTTTTTTTTTTTTTTTTTTTTATACATTCTTCTTATCGAGTTACGTTAAAATGGGAATCTATTTCGATTAAAGCGGATTTTCTTTTTCGTGTCGTGTATTTCTCGAGGCGGTACAGGCTGAAACGAGTTTGAGATAGATCTAACACGGAAGTCGTATTTTCAGACGGTAGAGCTGCCGGGTATAAGAATATTTCACTATTCAGGCAGCTTGAACTTCGCCTGTCGGCAACACTTCCGTGACGAGGTATATAAAATTGCTGGCCAGACGCCGAGAAAGAAACCTAATGGAGGCTTCAAACACGACGAGTTGAAGGAAGTTAGGAAGGTAAGAGATGCGATATAGAATATCTTCCAGTATTTTACAATAGTATCCAGTATAATATAATCCTGTTAGTAAAATTATTATTTAAATCGACAAGAAGGAATATCAACGTTAACTATATCCTCGTTACACCAGCCCTAAGAAACCATAAAACTGCCGACCCACTTTCGTAGAAAATTAATTTCCTTGTCATTGTGCACAGCTGAGAACCCTAATACTGGACCTGAGCGCGGTGAGTCACATGGACCTGGCGGGCACAACGACCCTGAGAAACCTGATCAACGAGTACTGTGAAATCGATATATCGGTGTACATCGCCGGGTGTTCCGGTGAGTAGAATCGCGTCGCGGAACCGCATGATCAAACCGGAAGCAATGTTAGACCCGATCGATACGCAACGATTTGAACACATTGTAGGACCTGTATACGAGATGATGAGAAAGTGCAACCTGTTGGAATACAAAGGTGGCCTGTTCGCCGCGTTCCCCACCGTGGCAGATGCCGTGCATTTTGCAAGGTCTAACACCGAGCCAGCATGGAGTTCGCCGATATAGGACGACGCAACTGTCGCCAGGCTCTGATTGCCTGAATACTAATCGCGACTACATACGGCAAAGTTCATTCATGATTCCCAGGGAAAAATTTCTCAATCAACGTGATCGACTGACAATTTAACTGCCATGTTATTTCTAGGCGCGTGCATTTGACTGTTTGATGAGAGGAATATTGGAAATGAGAAGTTGTGAGATGTTGAGGGATTGTAGATATAACTTTAAAGAAGAGATGATTATGATAGGATTGAATTGTGTATATAGATAGTGTTTGTTAATGAAGAATATGTCGAAATCAGTTCGAACAAATTGCTCAAGAAGGAATATTGTGAAGGTTGAATGTGTTCATCTTGCTTGATTCATTATAAATCGTATAAACAATTCTGTACCACTATATTTTTAAAAGATATTAAAAGCATACTACCTCGATGTAGTAAATAAAACTTAGAATTGAGTGTGAAAATTGAATGATATTTATACGTATAGTATTCTTGTAATAACAAGTAATGTTTTGTGTATTATAAAATTATGAAACGAATAATATTTATAGATACACTTCCAGAATACCTATTTATGATATTTCTCTAAATATTTAGTATGTTTAGTATAAATATATAGCCTGAAACTACTTAAAATCATCATAATTCGCGCCACAGCAGAGCGCACGTGAGAAAGCACGTCTCAGCGCATGCGTAAATAATATCGCGTAATCCACGTCTAAATGAAAGCTTGTTTATGTGAATTGACCGGCAAGTCACTGTCACTTTTCTAAAATGAGTGCATGGATACAATATATCAAATCTATTTCGACGCACATAGTAAGTTTACAAATTAACCTCACAAAAGTAATGTTATGACATTTTAGAAGTGCATAACATTTGTGTTAGGTTATGTTATTTTACTACAACAGGTGTTTATATATATTTACACAAATTCGTACGTTTCCTGATTAAACAATTTTCTTTTCAGGACTATGATGGTCAAGCGCGAGCAGAAAAATTATCAAGAGTCATCATAACACTGTTCGGGGTTGGATATTATACATCAAATATTGATGTTCAATTCAACTTTATAAGGTTACTTACATATGCCTTATTTATGTTTACAGGTGGTTGGACTAATTTGGGGATATGTTATTCAGCAATTTTCACAAACAATGTACATATTAGGAGCGGGATTTGTACTGGCAGTTTTAATTACAGTTCCACCGTGGCCTATGTACCGTCGTAAACCTTTAGACTGGCAGAAACCACAATCTGAAGTTACAATTAAGCAAAAAAAGAAGAAATAATTTACTGTCATTTTTAACTATATTTTGTTACAAAGTGTTACATGATAATACTTGTTGGTTCAAGGCAAAAATACATGTTTCGAACATCACTTTCCATTGTAAAACCTGTACTTATTAATTTATGAGAAAGACTAATAAGAAAAAGTACTATATAGCGAATGTATCATGATTATATTAATATCCTAAAAGATTCTTAATTCAAATAAAAGAATGTTACAAGATTGTCAAATATTCGATGTTTAAATCGACTCGATCTTTGATTCTCGAAGGCGAGAACGTTTAAAATAAAACGGCGTGTATTTATATTGCGGAAAGAAACATGACCAACATTTCGTAATTCCAACCTGTCGATTTTCTCGTTCGATTGCGATAGTCTCGTAACACAGTGACGCCCTTGAGACATTTTACTTCAATCTCGTTTCGAATTCCGCGCGAGCAGAAACGCGGTTAGACTTATACATGCCGCGTGACTCGGTTTCTCCTTTAAAACTGTTACAACAATGCCGGCTAACTGTTGCATACTATTACACGACTAGAAATGCGTTTCCTAACCAATACCGTTGACACATAGAGTATTGTCGACACTACGGAAAAGTTGACTAACTCTCATTATTATATTCCATTTAACTGATCAACGATACGATCTCTAGCACGAATTATGATAATTTCAATTGCAACCTCTTTCTATCCTAACGATACGCAAATTCGATAGAGGGGATGGAAAGCAATGTGAAGGAATCTAAAGATGCAAAGTCTTGAATTCATTTTTTATAAGCGTTAATATAACTTAAGAATGAATATAAGTATATGTGTATGTACACAATCGTTATACTCCAAACGCAATATATCAGATATCATTGAATTTCAATGGAGAAATTCTCACTTGGAAGCATTAGAAAGTACAATGCACGTAACGTTTGTGCACGTTATATCCGTAAAGTGATAAACCAAAGAAATTGCACAACAATTAAGAAAGTTATAATGTTATAGATACTGATTTATATCAATGATTACAGTAATATCTTACTAATTCAAAGTGAAATTAATGTATCGAACGCTGTTTTCACGCGAAAATAAATTATTTAACGGCCATTATTTTGCAATTTTAAAGTTCGTTGATTAAACTAAAATTTTGACTCACACGAAGAAGGCTATGATTACGAAGTCTTATCTTCATTGATGTTTCTTTTATTTCCATGCTTAAAACACAGGTTATTTCAGCAATGATACACAAATTTACGAACTTGAACATAGATACTTATAAATACAACTTATGTACGTAGATATTACATTAAATTTTGTTCATTGTACTTTCTACAAATTCGTTAAAGTTGGCGCTGCTAAGAAACTACCACTACAGTTTTCACACGAATAATAACAATTGCCAACGTGTTAGTCAAAATCTATGACTATACTATAGTTTGATTGCGTGGAAGTACTAGCTTTATATTTGTTTAAAATGAGTTCTTGGGTGCAATATATTAAATCCGTCCCAACGCATATAGTAAGTTAATTTATTAATATATGTAACTGTCTTTAGTTTTTGTTTTCTTCTTGGTTAGGTTATGTGTCACCATATGTCAAAATTCAGTCAGGTAATTCCTCTATATTTCTTTGAATAAAATTCTTTTTCAGGACTATGATGGTCAAGCTCGGGCAGAAAAATTATCAAGGCTCATCATAACACTTTTTGGAGTAAAGTATTGTATTTAAAAATATTGCACTGTACAAAATATGCTCAAGATTACAAATCGTTTTTTTACAGATAGTTGGATTAATATGGGGATATGTTATTCAACAATTTTCACAAACAATTTATATCCTTGGTGCAGGATTGGCGATGGCTGCTCTAATTACAGTTCCTCCGTGGCCCATGTATCGTCGCAAACCTTTAGATTGGCAGAAGCCACAGTCTGGAGTTACCACCAAGTTAAAAAAAAAGAAATAGTCTATCCTAATTGTACTTAATAAAATGTTATTCTTGTAAAAAATGCCAGTACTTGGTAAGGATTTACAGCATAAAAATACTTTGTATATCATTTTATAACTAAGCAATGTATTTATGACTGTGAAAGCAATGGATGAAAGTAATGGATGTGACAAATGCAGATTGAATCAATATTTTTTACTTGATCAGCAATGTAGATATATATAGACTAATGTATATAATTCAAATTATATCGTACTATGTAAAGATAGTGCTCGTACCATCAGATTGCATTTACCTTTGTATCTATATATCAAAATAAGAATAAAACTCATTGTTTAATAAACTCATTGCCAGAATCGTTTATATGAAAATTTAATAATGCCACATGTTGTTTTATGGCATAACAAAATATCGTTAGCAATAGCTTATCTTTAGAAAGTAACGTTTTTTGCGAAACATGAAGATCTATGTCCTCGCTGGGCTGTACTGTATAAAATATCGGACTCAGGATTTCCTTTTCGCCATGATTATATAATATGCAATAATCAAAAGGAAGAAATCTCGTAACAAAGTTGATTCAGTACAAAGTGCTTGATACAGACTGTTGATCGATCGATGTCGTCTTAATTTCGATTTCAATAAATCGAACGAACAATTAACCAGCCGTTTATGATTATATCGCATACCACGAGTCACACGTTGGATTTGTTCCAACGTTTGACTTTCATCGGACACGTTTCTCATTTTCTCTCGTCACACATTAACCGAAGCATATTTCCCTCAAAATCGGACTGGCGACGTGACTTTCACGAGACAGAAGAGGTAGAAGCGTTTTGGATACGGTGGGGATGATTGCAAGCAGATTCTTACGTAAGCGGACAACGATCACAGCCACATCGAAAATACAAAATGTGCCGTAACGCCCGGTACTGTTTTCTTTCTCCTCGTCTTTTTTTTGTTTATGCTCTAATCCTGTCCCTTTCGTCATCGTCGTACGACGCGTCTCGTCGTTATGTATTGTCCATCGCTACGAAACTGGAATACAATGTTATGCAACGAAAAGGATTTCGTTGCAAGCCTTCTGCAAATGTACCTTCTTTTTATTGAAACGTGCACTAGCCCAAAACGAGAAAATAAAGAATTATATCTTGAGCAATGATGCTAAGAAGCAAAATCCTTTCGCAACATGTTTCACTGATAATCCACGATGTTGCAATCGCAATTTTTATTAATCTTTAAATACAGATCACTCGTTTTTTAGAGGAATTTGAATTTATTAATTTAAATTCATTGCTATAAAATAATGCAGAATTTTAGAAACTCTAACATCATTTGATCTCCTCTACTATTAGCTAAACCTTTTCTTTTAACATGCGTCTTTCCTTTTTGTCAAAATTATGCCATAATAGACCAACCAACTTAATTTATTCCAGATCATTTTATAATATATGCTCGTTTTGCAATACACATTTGGGAGGATTCTTGCGTAATCTCGAATACTCCGAACCTTCTCAAAATCATCACGATCTTCGATCCTTTTCTCGCTTTCGCAGCTCGTAAGATACGGTTCGTATTCCAGGTGGAGGATTACGAAACGCTTTCTCCCTGTATGATGAATATTTTAAGTATGCGAGCTGCACCACTTCCTACAACACTGGCTGGATCGACGCAGTGCACACACGAAAAAAAAAAATAAAAAAAAGGATGCAACAGGCATTACATTGACGCGGATCGAGGTTACCTTGCTCTTAACACTGATTCCTTTCGCAAAAGAACTGAGGCCACCTTGACTAGAAAGCGAGTCGATTACTTGGACGTATTTCACCGGAAATGCCGAATCTGAAATTAAGGAATTGCATCTTCTCCTCCCGTTTTCTTTTCATCTTTTTTTGTATCTTTTTTGCATGTAGCGGAGGCAAGAGTTTTCACGTAACTGAGCTAATTGGTGGCAACTAAATGAATTTTTCGGAGATTTAACGTGGTTCAATTCTCACAACATTTAGATACTAATGTGCAATTATTAGGTACACCCTCGCTTAAAACTCTTCGGATAATCATTACATATTTGCTTAAAAACTGGTATACGTTAGGTAATCGTTAAAACATACGAAGAAAGAGAATTTATTTTGAAATTTTAAATACAACAAAGGAGCCAGATAATATATTAACAAATTTACTAGAAAAATGCATGTAATTTAAAGTTCGCAATCTACTTCAGAGGTTTTATTGAGAATAAAAAAAATAGTGTTCTATGATTTTTGAACGGGAGTGCGTAATAAATGATAGTTGCCAAAATCGTGATTTTCCACGTGGTTGACCGAGTTAATAGATCGTTTATCGAATGCTTTGATCAAACTGATTATGTATTTTCTAACGTGCAATTAGCAGATGTATTTGTCGTAACTTTAATGCAAATTACATACTTGAGTTTCATATACATTGTATAAATAGTGTCAGTGGCACGTCTGTCAAATAAGACTTAATCAAACAGTAAAGAAATTGGGATCGATAAAGGTAGAATGTTGCAACTACGTGCAGGAAGTTGAATATTGCATCTAATTTTTATCCACGCCATTTACACTCAATTAACGCAGAGAAAAGGAAAAGAAAATTCGTGACTCTGATCGTTTTGCGCTAAAGGAATTCATAGAAGAGTAAAAATGTTTCGTGAAAAATGACATTAAAGGATTTTCTAATGTGCACTATCGTCATTAAATATTGAACGAAGAATGGGAAGAGATAAACTGGATTATCAGCTGGAAGAGAGAAGTTTTGCAACTTTACAGCGATAGGAACGAAATAAAGTTCACGATTAGACACCAAGTGTTATTTGCCGAGGAAAAGGGGGACAGATTGATGACAATGTCCGCTATTAGACGTCTCCTATAATATAATTTTCCTGATCCACTTCCAACGAGTTCCGCTCGACTGGCATTGAGCTTGATTCGCGATACTACAATTAATAAGCAATAAACTAGTATATGATGTCTCTTACGTACATTAAGGCTGGTATGATTATATCATCGACCATGCTGAACCACAGAAAAATTTTCTGTTATGTCAATTACACCACTTTTGGGCTTGTTACGATGTTTCGACACTGTTTTAGTTATGCGTAGACGAATTTCTCTTTCTTGCCAAAACTACGAGAATATATTGTATCAATGGATAGACAAATTGGTGTATCTTAATAGAAAGTGCCGTTACTTAATGATGAGAAGTCAGTATTTAGCTTGTAGAATAAGTCAGAAGTATTTAGCTTGTAGAATAGAAAGCATCAGTTTGTCATATGTTGATTATTTATTTGTTTATGCCTAATACAGACACAACAGAAGACATAAAATTTTGTAAACGTTTTGGGTGAAATCGATCACGTAATGCAAAAATTCCGCCACCGCCTTCAGCCAGTTACGCAGTAACGAATGATATATCTTTGACATAATTTTTCCCATTTTAAAGCACAATTTACAGCCAACGTTTATGTAACACATACATATCTTCAACATTAAGAATTTTTTTTGCGAATCATTCGGTCGAAAACATTTACGAATCCCATATTTCTACCTCCCGTACTCTTTTATAATCGCCTCATTAGAATAATTTTCTAATTCGTATTATAACACCGCAATTTATACCTAAATTCGTGTAACATCAATTCGTTTCTTTGCTTAGAAACGATTAATTTTCAGTGGTGTCAGAAACATCTGCTTTGTCTTCCAAAATACGAAGCAGCTTCTCCTTTCTGTCATTTCTGACAATAAAATTCACAAATGTTCGCACTATCACCAAGTTTCAACAAATATAACGAGACACTTAAAATTCCATCCACTTTTCATTTCCAATGGCCATCGAACTTTCCTTTAGGAAATTCAACTATCGCACATATGCTCACAGGAAATTCGTGAAAATTTGACAGAATTTACTTTCCGCCACCATCTGATTCAACACGTTTCATCCATAATTCAGAAAACGCGGGAAACGCGCACTCCCGCTATTTCTACGATCGTCTACGTAACGGTGAAATGACTAACTGATTGACTCTTCGAATGAATTAATATCGTAATTAAAGACAGGTTTTTGCCATTTCTCGGTCCTAAGTAAATTATATCGAACGAAGCTGGACACGTAGCGTACGCAGTGTGTTGTTACGCAGGCTTGGAGAACGCTTGGAACGGACGTAACCAGAGAGTCGGCCGCTTCCTATCTTTTACGTAACCGTAAAGTCGAGCGACTTTGGCTCTCCCACCCTGTGGCTTTTCACCGGGTGGTTTTGGCCACCTCGGTTGGTCCTTTATAAGCACACATCCCCGGCCGTTCAAAGCCAGAAACGTATCGACATCGGTAAAACATTGGTCTCACGTGTGATCGACGTATAATCGAGCTTCAGTTCGTCTCATTCGATTTTTCCTCTTTCTATCGTTTCTTTCTTTTTCTGCGACCGTGTCGTTTCGTGGGCTCGTCACGTCGAGCAAGAAAATTGTAGTCATTTAAAAAAGAAGAACAGACAGCCGAACAGAATGCGCTCCCAGACCATCGTTGTGAGTAGAACCTTCGGCCAAGCTTCGTGTGAAGGGTGAACTACCCTTGTGGATCGACGAATACAGTGATTTCGAACGATGTGCTATAAACTTGTAGAATTATACGAAAATTCTTTGTGAACGTTTTACGAATTGATTCTCGTATCAATTACTTTGAGGATTATTTTTCTGGTAATTTTGTTTATGGCTTCGTTTGGAATCCGTAGGAAATTTTGCGCAGACCAAGGTTTCTGATCATATACGTAAATTAGATTAGCTTCATTCTTAGTTTCTGCTTCTTTGTATATTTGTTTTGTCTTCTTACCGATTATTGTAATATCGGTCAGATAATTTTATAATGGTAATAGGTAAATTCATTTCGATAAACGTTTAATTAAAATTAGAACTGCAAACACTTTCACCCTGTCGAGACATGATTGCACAAAGCATGTAGGATGAGTAGTGAAACTTCGAAAAAAAAGAGCAAAAAAAGTAACGTCGCGCATATAAATGACACGATACGCCGTGTCACGGTGCACTTTTCGCCTTATGGGCAAATCACAAATTCACATTCGTGTTGCAGCTAATCGTGTTCGGAATACTAGCCGTGGCCTTGTCTTCGCCAGTACCAGGCTATCATGGGTAAGTTGTCAAAATGTTTGAACGTTTCGTATGACTATTTCACCTGGTATTATCTTCAAAAATAAAAATACAAATTTTTAAACACAAAATTAAGATGCATTATTTTGTTTCTTCTCTTAAGTTGTTTTCTTAACTAACGAAGTATTATCATCTAGAATTTACATATTTTATTATTGTATTTGTATTAGAATCTATAGTTAGTATATTAAAAAAGAAGACAGTCAACTCGTTCGGAAGAAAATTAAACGTATGATTTCAGTTCTCACCAGCACGTCCGTATCCATGTGCCTTATCACGTGCATACGGTTCATCATCATCATGTGAAGAAGATACCAGTGCATCACGTAGAGAAGGTGCCCGTCCCTGTTCCAATTCCTATCCATCACGTGCAAAAGGTGCCCGTTCCAGTGCCAGTCCATCACGTCGAAAAGGTGCACGTACCTGTTCCGATCGTCGAAAAGGTGCCTGTACCCATCCCTGTTCACGAAGAAAAGAAGTGGTGGTAATGGGAGCGCTTCGCTCTTCGGCTTGTTATTATTTAGGTAATTAAAACAAAGAATTTCTCGCTTGCGTCAACGACATTGAAACAATCAAAATTTTGGCTAGAACGTAATTAACGATTGACAGACATTTAATTATTTTCATAGCGGAGGGTAAAGAATTTTATTCTCATATTATGGAAATCAGACATATTTTGATTATTTAAAGGAAAATTGAAACGAGGACAAGTGCATAAAAAGTTTCAGTGAAAAACTTGACAGAAAAACACGATTGAATCGAAAACAACCAAAAGCACGTAGAATCGAGGGAAAAATTACGAGAGTAAAGATTTCTTGTCACTTTGTTGCAGATTCTAAAATAAGGGCGTTCGGATTGCTAATAGAATTTCACTCCAATTTTATTCTTGCTCAACCAAATCGTTCCCGGAAGTACGCAGAAGCTACAAGAAGGGAATAGTACAAAATGTAACTCGAATTGCCTGCATCATTAGTCGTTTAAGTCTGTAATATAGAACTAATATCACTTGGTATGCACATGTGTGTACTTAGGTTAACATTATTTGTACATACTATATCATGTTACTTTATTTTTTATACAATACACGTGTTTGTCAAATATCAAATGTACATTTTTTCAAACACCTAAGATCTTGTGTTTTATGTTACAATTAACATTATTCGATAACTTTTATTAACAGTATTTTATTAACACAACATAAGTTCACAACAATGGTTAACGATTATAATACAATAACAATGCAACAACGTTAACGTTAAGAAGTCTTAGAAAGATATCGTACAAACTCTATAAAACTAGAGAAACTGCACGAGTTTCACCACTCTTCTACGTGATCGTGACCACCATCATCTTCTTCGTGTTTTATGTGAATCTTTTTCACATGCGTATGATGGTGTTTGTGAATCAATTCTGGCACGTGAATGACGAAATGCGTGCTGCGGAGAACGAAACGTTATCGAATATAATGGTCCAGTGTAAAATGCAAGCGATAATTAATCGATTGGTAAATAATTACTGTTCGTGATGACCGCCAGGGGAAGGCATCGAAGCTACGAGGACGATTGAAACGACGAGAACAAGAAGGAAGGCCTGAAAAATAAATATAATTAAATACAATAACATATCAAAATACTTGAGAAGGGAAGAAACTTCGTAGAAATGATATAAATAACGCGACTTTAAATGAAAGGTTAATACTACGCGAAATATTTCATGACTCCGTAGAAGAGTAAATTAATTACGTTAGATTAAGACCCCGGTGAAAGTATCTAATGTACGATCAGATCGCGTCGTTAAATGGTGAAATTATCGTGTCGTTGAGGCACGCCTCTTATTGTTCCTTTTATCGTTAAAGCCATTCTTTCTAACGACTTGCTGCTTCCATAGAAAACAAGTTGACGTGCAATTGACCATACGCATGTGCGCGTTTAACTCAAGTATGAATTTAAAAGATACCATGAACATTACTATGAATAAATATTTCAGAACTATTTCACGGCTACGTGTATGTGTGTATAGTATGTTTTCGAAGAAATGTACGGTTTTCTTCTTCTCTCTTTTATAAATTTTGTCTGTGAAGAAGTTAAGCAAAAGTCACGAGAATGTTCATTCGAAACATTCAACAAATATCCAATCGTCCTATTAAATAATTTTTTAAACTAAGAGAACACGACACCGCGTTTCGAAGGTCAGCTAATTTTTGGAATTCACTCGGCGTTATTTTTGACAGACGCGTAATTTTTTGTCGAAGTAAATCAAGGTCACCGAAGAGGATCGAGGTGATTAACACCCACTTGCGCTCGGAGTTTCGCCATTTTCTGCCTCGAGTCTGATTGCTCCAACGTTGAACTCCGAGTGTATTCCAAGACTGTTGCTCTTCGGGTACTAAAAGCTGGAATCCTGGCAAGCCTTATAAACGGAAGCATAATCAGTGAACGGTACAGGAACGAGCAAAATAGTTCCTGCGTGCACCCCACCCAACCCTCTACTCGCTCTCACTTGAGATTATATGAAATTTCACGTGCCCCTTCTATCATTGTCGTAGACACCTACTTGTCTCTCGTGTGAAAGATATCGCCCCAGTAGTGTGAGTGTAGTAGTAAATCATTGATTTAAGAATAGAAAAAGACAAATGTAATCGAGATGTATTTATTTACTACGGAAGAAAGAAATTTCGCGAATAATTCGAGATACAAATCGTTTAAGAAGAGATTGGAGTATTCCTCTTGTCTAATAATCTTGTCTAATAATCTGCTTGTTAAGGAGAAAGCAAACATTGTAAACAATTATAAATACAAATGATTTAAAAAGAGATCAGAGTGTACTTTATCTAATAATTTTCTTTTAAAAGAAGAGACATTTTAAATTGAAAGGAGACATATTCGTCTCTCATAGGCAATGTACCGATACAAACTTGAGAAATATAAAAATTATTGAATCGCGAACGACTTTACGTAATCGTATTTGCGAAACAGACCTTTTACAATGTTTTCTATTACCATAACTTCTATTGTAATCAATTGCGTTGCTTGCTCTAACAATTTAGCGAGCAACGACTTTTCAAATGCTTTACTATCGACATTACGCTAATTTACGAGCTTACAGACGTCAGTTTCACCAGGAAACATTGCGCGTAATCGAATATCCCGAATCCCATTATTATTTCTTCTTCAATGGCCCATTTACGTTCATTGATACGTATTTAAACAGCCGACTGAATTAATAGAAAGTTGTAATCGATCTCGTTCGCCTATACTGTTTCGCTATTATGATTTCCAGGGAAGAAAGAAACGAAAGAGAAGGAACGGTGAAATGGCCCTTCGAAAGTGTTCGATCTTTCTGGAACTCGCGTTCACTTTCTCTGTCTTCTGTTACCGCTATCAGAGTAACATTACATTGTCGTAACGTGTCATTTACCGTTGTAATCTTCATCATAAACACATAAACGATGCGTTTTGGTGATTCCAGCAAAGTATCTGTTGGAAATCTTATCGATTCTCTAAACAGTGTAATATCGTTCGATGTCTGGAGAAATTTCGAAAAGCGTTTAGCGTGATCTGGATCTGCATGTATCGATCGCTTTACGCCAATGGTACGAAGAAAGTAAACGGGGAATTATTCTTTTTTCTTTCTCAATCGAATCCCTCCTCCGCTAAATCAGCTGCGCGTCGTACTTCATTTTGTTTTTTCTTGCATGTCTCGACAAATGGGCGACTTCTCACAGTAATGGTACGATCTTGATATTTCTACTACGTGAAAGAGGAATTCCGATGGAGAATTGGATAAACCTAATTGTATGTTGCGTTCTGTGTTATTCGTTCTTTTTAGACAATGATATCGATAATTGTTCATCTTCTGTATTTATAAAGTATAACGATGTTTCATTTTTTTGTATTCAAATTTTATGAACCGATTTCGCCCGCGAACGTCAAAACGAATGTGCGTGTTTAAGATTGGAGAGTGTAAGTACTCACGCGTACGGTGTATCTCGTGTAAATTAGCGTAGAATTTTCTGTTATACCAAATGAAAATTTGAACGAATTAGCAACACGTCGTTTCTTTGGAAGTTCATAAGCATAGTTAATGGCTGTGTCGGAAAGTGAAGAATCTCGTATACGCACTTTTACAAGATCTCAGGCTAGAAAGTTTAATTTTCATTTCAGACAGAATAGATCCATTTCAGGCAATTGCTTTATCTATTCGCCGATTTTTTACGTTTGTCTACTTTCACAATTTTGTTATGCAAACGACCATCTTCTGAGAAACAGGAACATCCTGGTAACAATGAGTTCGTCCACTTCTGTTATTCGTAATTTCGAAAGTTCTGTGTATAAAAAAGAATATATAAACAATTGTTATATGTTGTATGCATGTTAAACAATTATTGTACAGGTTGGTTCCATTTAAAAGAATGATTTGATCGTTGTTTGCACATGCACCATTGCGCTTTAAAAAAGAAAAATTGATGCAACGGATGTAGTACTCCTTGAGCCATTCATCTTTCTTATTCGACGTTTTTCTGTAACTGCACTGGTAACGGAATTACAGTCTGAAACAATTGCATAGACCACACTGTTACAAGATTAATGTTACGTTTTGTGCGATATATTACCACATAGTCATAAAAGGAAAGAAAGTAACAATAAGGAAGTATTGACCGAATCTCAAAAGATTCAGACGTTCTAAACAATCCCTGTATTTTAATACCTTGTCTCGACGAATTGTTTATACGGCCATTGATCTCGAGGCGCTGTTGCAAAACGAGAAAGATTCTCGGCGCAGACTATCGTAGATCAAGGACAACATCCGTGTTACTTGCCATACGAACACCTAGAATCGTGCGAGTGAAATCGTCCTCCTCCGTGTACCGTAACATCTACTCTCTTTCACTTTTCGCTTACTTTCCATTTCGAACTAATCCTAGACGTTCTGAAGCAATTATCGTTCCAGAAAAGTTACTCCATTATGGCGAACAAGCTCGCAGCGATCGACAGACATCATTCGCCCGTTTCCCGAGATCAATATCCTTGATTAATCGCTTCCTACGATAACTAATGACCATGTTGGTTTGAAACCATGGGAATTTCCTGGCTGTTAAATGGATCTACGACCCTCTACGGTGATAAAATACATTTACTAGGTTTCAGTAGCATCTTTGGATCCATTTGAACACAAAGGAACTTTAGCGTTCAATTTGGGCATCCAGATTTCAATTGTTATCAAGAAAACTTTTTAAGAATTAACTTCACAGAGTGCTTGATAATAAAGAAGCGACGTTAATAAGTAAGTGTTAATTTTTTCAGAATTTTTGGAAGCCAGGAAGATTAACAAATTTTCGGATGGACAAAATTAGATCTGTAAACAAAAGTAGTGTACTAAAGAGGATTCGATATTGCTGAAAAAAGTAGGTTGATATTTATTTTTAATTATTTTCAATTATATGTAACTTATAATGCACTGATTTGCTTCAGCTGTAGGTATATCTCACGATTGAAGTTGAGCTTGTAACGAGTTTTAAAACACGAAATTGTGAAGAAGCGAGTTAGGTAAACTAGTGATTTAATAATCATGCGTATGGCAAGTGTAAGAAATATAAAACAGCAAATGTTTTCACTTTTCACTTATGGGATATAAAGAAAGACTCATGACTTACAAAATACAAATAAAACAATTTATTAAAGATAACAGTAAACGAATAGTATTTACACAACGTATAATATATACAAAACACAATAGCTGCGATGAGTAAAATAATCAGGTAAATGCGTCGCAGTTGCGAAGCGCACGCGAGTAGTCATTAAAGACTAACTAATTATAAAACGCAGTCATGCAGGATTTACACGAAACTGTACGAACGGTCGATCTTCTGGTGATCGAAACTAATGTCATGTAATCCATAATACACGAATAAAATATTCTTCCTCGTTCCTAAATTCTCAGTAAATTATTCTATCGTTAATCCAATTCATACACGATGTACCGACAGATCCGTTTAATCCACTTAAGATGCTAAATCGACATTGCAAACGTTATGACGATACTAATTCCGTTCGATCGAATTTCTAAACTTTCCATTTTCTCTGCTGCGTTTAACGGTAAACGCCAACTCGTTTAAAAACGAAAGTGGAAATGACAAATAGTTTCCTCGAAGTATCTCGAGGAGAATCAGGGGAAATCGAAACGATCGTTGTGAATTAGTGTCCTGCTATGTAGCAGTGAGTGTTGTCGATGAATCGCGATCGACAGTCACGTGACGTTAATGATCGCGTGATGAGAACGCGGCACGAGGAATAACGCGATCATCACGATGTCGGAAATCGGTCAAACCGACCGATCGGAAACACGACATTGACTCGTCGATCGCTATTACTTTTTCTTGTGATAGCCTGAGAAACCACCGCCATGGCCGCCACCACCATGACCGCCACCACTATGACCGCCACTTGAGTACGAATCGTAACCACCACCGGAACTGTATCCACCTCCGCCTCCACCGTGCCCACTGAAATAAAGATTTAATTATTAAGATATAACGTGGTTGCAAATGAAAATGTTAAGCGCGAAATTACGCTCAGGAAATATAAAGACGCTTTCAATATCAGGGTTAAGAGAAATATTAAGGAAAAGAACATCTTATTACCTGCTTCCGAAGCCGGAAGATATGCTGTTACTAATAGCATGGTGTTCGATTCCACCGAATCCACCTCCTCCGCCGCCACCACCGTGGCCACCACCGAATCCACTTCCTCCAAAACCTCCTCCGCCATGGTGAGCATCAAAACCTCCACCACCACCTCCATATCCACCGCCACCTCCATATCCACCGCCTCCTCCAAAACCTCCTCCGCCATGGTGTGCATCGAATCCACCACCGCCGCCACCATAGCCACCACCGCCTCCATAGCCTCCACCGCCACCATGGTGTTCGATGATCAATCCTCCGCCACCACCCCCACCACCGCCACCTCCATAACCTCCTCCACCATGGTGTTCATCGAAACCGCCACCACCGCCTCCGAATCCTCCACCACCGTGGTGTTCGATAATTGTCCCTCCACCACCGCCACCTCCAAATCCTCCGCCACCGTGGTGAGCATCGAAACCACCACCACCGCCTCCATAGCCTCCACCACCGTGG